TCTTTGTCGGCGGGCTGGGTGCCTTCCTGGACGGGATGAACGATTGCGGAAGCAAAGCTTGTGGTGATGCGCACGATGGCGAAAGCACGCCCGAGCTTTCTGTGCGTGGACTCGCCCAATCTAAGCTTCGTTGGCGCCGAGGATCTCGACATGGGATATATATGTTCAAACCGCGAACGCTAGCCTGCTTGCCGAGCGGCGTCTGCGGCCGAGGAGGCGACAAAGGCGATAAAGGTCTTGGTGCGGGAATGTATGGCGAGAGCTGCGGCACGCGATTGTATGGAACAACGGCATCTGCAGTCGGATTCCAGAGTTCAAGAGCCTTGGTCTTGTTGTGTCGGCGAAACCACAGCGAGGACCTTGAGCGCCCTGTCTCTTCATCGACGAGATGGAGGCGGCTCTTCGTCGAGTGAGTCCTTCGCAAGTCACCATCCATACCTTTGAAGAAGGGCACCATGTACGGAATGCTGGCAGTTGCGATGCTGAAGGATACATGGACTTGCGACACGATCGCCGGCACCCAGAGTCGGTATTGAGGATCGCCATGGAGCGTAGCCGGGAATAGCAAAACGAGACGAACAATTGCCAGAATCAAGACCAGCATGCGCGGCGCAAAGCATGCAATGACTGCGAATTTCCTTGAGAGCCGTACTTGAAGGTATGCTACGAGGTGTATAGAAAGCATAATGATTGCGACTTCGGTGGAAATGTCGACGATACAATAGACGATCCAAAAGATGCGCTATTCAGGTCAGCTTTCAGACTGTGTTTGCTTAGGGCCTATGTTGCATACCGAGTTAAAGCATCTTGGGCCTACGATCTGCCAAGGTCGAGGTAGCTGGCACTGAAACGCAATTGCGACAAGCGACGCCGCTGTCCAGACTGACACTACCGCACTGAAAGCTACCACAGCTCGGCGGATGATGCGTTGCGTTACGACGACATTGTAGAATATTACCAAGATTGATAGCTTCGCGAAGCCAATGGCTACAATGTAAACAATCTCAGACGAATAGTACCCTTTCATGAGGAAGATGGTTTGCTCGAGGGTCAACGGACCAACAGTACCGAGACCTTCGAACGACAAGACAAGAGCTATAATTGAAAGACTGACGGCAAAGGACTGCATGCGTTAGCAAAGTTCGAGAGATATGCTGTGCAACTTACAAAAGCCATAAATATCAAGAGATCATCGAGCGCCATTCTCCGAAAGACAACAATCTTCATTATCTGCCGTGCTCCAAAAACCATCATCGTGATGATAAGAATGACCCATGATGCGGCCCTAATGGTATTTGCTCGGTCGATGGGGCTGGCTGATGAACTTCTGGGAAGGACATATCCACTCGGTAACTTCATATTCGACATCAGGGAAAGACGGACAAAGTCCAGAAAAGCGACCCAAGAGGAAACGACAAGGAAATAGTAAAACGACCAGACCTTCTTACCCCGTATTACTCAAACATGACGAAAGAGCACAATCTGGATCAGAAAGGCTGTAGCTGGTAAGGCGAATTATGCGGCGAAGAAGAGCCTTACGAGTGCTTCGAGGTGTCCAGGGTGCGGGCCAAAAACAGTACACGAGGCGATCAATCCTAGAATATCGCTACAGCACCTGCTCGGTACTGCTTACCTTGACGTTCAGTTCGGGAGTTCATCTCAAGCTGCTACACTTTTGCACTGGGTAAATAGCAGCTTGGCGTCTCTGGTTCGCTGTTCAGAACCCCTCTACCTTTTCTCCAGTATTAGCGTCCTGCGATGCACTGGTAAGCGCATAGGCGACTCGGCAACGCTGCGTCATGCATCTAATCTTGGGGTGTATGGGCGCTTGCGATGATTTGTGAATGCTGCTGATGGATGGCGCGGCTGACATGCGCTACGTTCCTTCCGGCGGGTATGCGCGTTGGGGCGCGGGGCCATCCTCCCGCGCCCTCAACGTAGACGCGCATGAACACTGGCGAACGGTACGAAGTGACAAAATCGCGAAACATGTTCCTTGGATGATCATCGTTGGCAGGAGGATGTTGGCCGCAGTCTACGCAGCAGCTGCGGATCGCTGGGGCTCAACACCGGTGAAATTGTACATGGTTTGCTAGGCTTCTGTGCACTCCATCAACTGGTAGTCATCAGTTTGCCTCGTAGCCTTGTCGCTGTAGCCTTGTCTCTGAAGTAGAATGCCAGACCGGACTTCCTAGAAAGGCGAAGACGACGGTTCCGGCTATGTAGGCTGAGGTTGGGTGCGGTTGTCTTGGGTTCGCGTAATGTGGCGCGTCTTTTCTTAGGTCTTCGTGCAGACCCCGGAAACCCATCCTAAGGCCAAGCGTGCATCCTTCCCAGGTACCAACAATGTGACTCGGCGCTTGAAGTTGTCTTATCTTGCGTTTCGGGGTTTGAAGTAGATAAGGTGCCTATTCTTGTATTCAGTCCACTACTGAGCAGGTGATGCGCTCGAAACTGAGGGCGGTCGAGATTGTAGAAAATATCAGTAAGCGGACCGCTCATGCGACGAATACTATAATGATGTCGATCAAGCACAGAGCGCTTCAAGCGTGCTGATGAATCAAAAAGATAGAAGGTGGGCCAGAAGTCGTTTGCGAAGAGCGTTGTTGTGATGGGTCGCGAAAGCCGCCAAAACCTTAGGAGGATGGGAGGGCCGCACCTTCCAAGGTTGAACCAGCCGCCTAGCGGATGATGTCAGCACCGCCTTCCAGCCGAGACCGCTCTCACCCACTCGTCTGAACGGCAGCTTCATCAACAATGACAACACCAGACGATCCCGACGCAAGATGAGGAACCCGCCAGCACAATGCATGCCCACCCCTCGCATTACTCAGAACCAGGGTGCATTGATAACCCAGAGACGGTCACTGCGCGGATCTTTCACGGCATCTGCCGGCACGCATCTTCGTGCGCGACAGCGTTGATATACTCAATGCCCCGACAGGCCTATCGATGCGACATGGACAAACTTTACCTCGAAGACGGCGCAGCAATCTGGTTTCAGAGGCCAGCGTTTGAGTACCACAATGAGCCACCAGCGACCACGTGGGCGCCGCTCTTGAACATCACCATTCGATAAGCGCTTGCCTTCCTTCTGCTTGCGTGGCCTTGAGTTGGCAAGAATGTTTCAACCCACTATCTTTCCAGATCGACCTCCAGGATGAAGCGCACACTGCACTAGTGCCTGAAGATGATCGGTCCGAGCGGCGCCTGCCGGCGATCCGGGCCCTTTTCGTCTAGTCGCCCCTATTTTGGGCCGATGTCTCATACGATGCAAATACTGAAACCGACAACTCTCACTCCGAACAGTTCACTGCCACACGCAAGTGGCGGCACTCCTCCATCCGGAACGGCGCCACGTACTGTTCGACCCACTTCAAAAGCAAGTGGGAAACAAGCACCACTTCACAAAGCTTGGTTGAGCTTAACAGCATCAATACTCGATGCTTGTTGGCCAAAAGCATGACGAAGCTCGTGGGTCAGACATGTGAAGTCTTGGGCTTGGGCGTCTGAGCGCGCGATCAACACAGCAACACCCAACTAACGTTTGATTGCGCTGGGTATGGGTTCTCATAAGGGCCTATTGAGGATGCTTCCTTTTCTATAAGCCTACCGTGTCGAATTGTGTCCTTCATTCAATTTCCTAGTACAAGTACCGATAACTTCTAATCTTTAATACTGTCCTTACCGCTGTCTTGGCCCGACATGAATGCCTCAGCAACGATCCGTGCTTCGTACATCCGCCAGGCGCGGATGAGCATGACCCCTCGTCCACATAGCATATCGGAGACGTTATCAATCGATCTTCAACCACGCCCCGCTTCGTCCGAGAAGCTCCAATCCTTCGTCCATGTCGACCACATTGAACACCGCGAAAAATGCCACTCCGAGCGTACTTCACAGCCGACCTTCTTCGATGTCGAACGCAACGCCGATAACAGCCAAGCATACATCGACGACCGCTATCTCGACACCACTTCGGTCATGGAATGGGACAACAGCAGTTCCTTCAAAGTGCGGCTAAAATCCATGTTCACAGTCTTTCCTTACCGCGACCCTATCTACCTCGTAGCGATCATCTTCCTCATTGGTTCCATCGACCTCGTCATCAACGCCACCTTCGATCTACTACCTCGCCTCAACCCTTCCACGGAGTTCGAAACCGAAGAGACTGTCGCCGTCCCTAGTACGATATTGATTGGATCGATCTTCTTCTTCGTCGCAGGCATCTTCGACACCTTCAGTGCTCTGAATGCGGACCGCGGTACGCTCGAAACGTCAAAGTTGGAGCCTGAGAAAGTTAGATACCGACCAGCGCTCCTTGGCACACCTGAGTTCAAATGGATACCGTCATGGGAGAAGGTTTGGGAGTTGTCGGCCACCAACTTGGCCTTCCAGGCTGGTCTCATCGTTCTCTTTGGGGGCATCATCTTTATGTTCGCTGGCATCGTCGACTTTCCCGGCATTGTTCCGGAAGAAGACCCTCTCTTTGAATACATCGTTTTCGGGCCGCAGGTGGTACACGGCGCGCTCTTCTTGGTCGCGAACGCTATGTTGGCGTTCTCCGAACAAGAGCGCTGGTACAAGCCCAGGTTCTTCCACTCGGACTGGCAGAGTGCCATCCTCAATGCGCTTGGTGGGCTCGGTTTCATGATGGCTGGTTTCTTTCTCTTCCAGGACGGTGAGAATGAGGAACAGGGAAAAGTACATGCAGCTATCGCGGCAATGGCAGGGAGCTGGGCTTTCTTGGTAGGCAGCGTGATCAGGTGGTACGTTGTTTTGGAGTTCTGGTAGTGTTTACGTAGGCGTTACCGTGACTTCCGCATAGGGAACTCACGACCACATTCGTTAGCGTGGACCCTTTTTCTCTTTGGCAGGCGCTCATTAATTCATTTTACGGTCCGTCCACACCAGTGGATACGCATCACTCTTATCCTTTCCGCGTGCACGAACATCGCCTGAATCCGAAGCTTGCTCCCCGTCGCACATCGCTGTCAATCATGGTCTCTACAACTCGATCGCAAGGTAGCCACGGCTCGTCAGGCAAGATCCTGACGGTTGAGGAGCTGCGTGCGAATTGCTATGAGTGAGCATCGTTTGCTAAGAAGATTGAGAACACGCGCTGACGAACTAGGACTGCCGCAAAGGCTGCGAGGCTGCAAAAGATGGTCGACGACTTCGAAGTGACCACCTGCCCCAAAGGACACGGCGCACGGCGTGCAAGAGCAAAGAAGCAACTCCGCAAGGCTAAAGACCAGCTGTATCGCACTGCTGTCAAATGTTCTCGTCTAGATTGCCCGCCATTATTACAAGCCTTGCAAGACCACCTGCCGCGAGAGCTGCGCGACATGGTCTACGCTGAACTGATGGACTTAGACAATCCAGTGTTTGACATCCGGCTAGTGGGCAGGAAGTATGTACTCAAACCAAGCAATCCCCGCTCTACACACTTTTCCCATACTAGCATGGCAGCTAGTGTCACTGAAGGTCGAGATCCTTACTACGTTGATCCCGCCATCGTCGGTAAAGAGGCGGCGCTAGAGATTCTACAACTTCGTTACCGACGTAGCCGCTTTGACATCCACCACGACGCTCTCATAGAAAAGGTTCTCAATCAAGATGCATGGAGGCAGGATATCCAACCGAAACGCTGGCTCTCCACGATTCATATCCACTTGCCAGAGGACATCTATCAGCTTGAAGAGCGCAGAACCTTATTTAGTCAGCGTTTCGAGTTGTTGAAGGAGCTCACCAATACCCGTGCACGCATTGAGGTATTTTTCCCCAACAAAGAACGATACTGGCATCTCCAGATTGGTCATATGCGTGAAAGATATCAGGATCTACTTCCCACCGACCCGACTATACGCCAAGCCATGTTAGCTACTACTGAACGACTATCAGCCTCTAATAATGGGACCGAGATCGATGCCGCTGTTCATAACGAGAACGTGCATATCATCATGGAGGCCATATTCCCGAGCCTGACCGCCTTGAAGGCTCGAGGCCACCAGATTCACTTGGACGATAGGATTAGCGGGTGGACATGGACGGCGGGGGAGGGAAGCGCCACATTCGCTGATGCCTGGACTAATCGAAGGCAGTTTCGTAAGGTATGTCGTCAACCTGAGTCTTGTATAAGAGTCTATGGCACTAATGTGATTCAATAGGCGGAAGTCCGCGAGTACATGAGGCTGTCTCTGTATCAGATGTACCCTTCGGGACGTAATCTGGATGCTGGGGAGAAGGCGGAGATGAGAGCGGAGGGTTAGATAATGTGAACACGATACCAGGAAGGGCTATGATGCGTGTTGCATTTGCTGCATATACACTGCTAAACCCTGATAAGTAAATCATTCCTAAGACGATATATACCCCTGCTCTGATAGTGGCTTTACTTTTTGCAGAATAAATTACGAAGTGTAATCACCGCTTGAGCCAAGCGCTGCTTCGTCCAGGACGCGAAACTAGTAGCTTTGCCGGTTCAAATTACGTTAATCGCAAACCTCGTTATCTGTTGAGCTCTCGGGGTGGCGGTACTTCTTATTCGGGGGCATTCTTTTGCTTGTGCGTCGTATGAAATGCGGAGGATATGTTTGGGGTCTAATTCTCAACCTTGGTTCGTATAGAAGCTTGGAGTATCTCAACTAAAGGGAGCATTAATCACGTACTCACGGTAATGTGTACCTAGGTAGAGAAATATGAAAACATGATCAACTCTTAACAAGTCACTCAATCTTTGTTAACGCGTTCTTTGGTGTCCTGACAACGGAACCTTTCAAATTTGCCTCTTTGGGACTAGCTTTTCGGCTAGCTGAGTGTCACAACCCATACCTGGGTCCTTTGGTGTTTTGCGTAACACCAAAACAAATTACACAATATATCACCCAAGGTATTCGCGATGTTCACAACCCATACCACTGGTGACCAACTCGGCTTCGTAGATGTCTTCGGACGCTCTTCGCTTGCCTCGACGGAGTATGCGCACTACCGTCTCCGAGCTTTCAGGTCAGTGAGGGCTTTCTGTCGTAACGTAAATAACATTAGCTAACGTCCACGCTCTCAGTTTACATGTCATTGCGGAGAGACTAAGAGCTGAGAAGGAACGATTTGACTCTACGCTGCAAGAGCTGTACTCGTGGAAAGAAAAGCAGCTTTCGACTCTCGAGGACATCGAGAAACGACTTGATGGAAATTCTCAAAGCGGTCCACCGTCCCTCGCAGACCCGGTCAGCAAGGATACAGCTACGTTGAAGCTTGGTTTGGCAGAGCGCCGTATCAATGCAGAGCTTCGGAAGCGTTCCGAGGTTGTACCGAAGGAACTGTACATCCACCAGACGCTCGCGCATGTCCTCAGAGAATACGCCAGGCTCGTACACCCCAGTCTCCTCGACAGAATGTTCGGATTGCTACCAACAGGGAAGCTACCACGGGAGGTTAGGGACATGGTATACGACCATCTACTCCCTGGGGAGAGCACTTACACTATCAAGTTAGCAACAGACAACACTGGCTTCTCCATCCACAAAGGAGCATCGGACGGTATTATACCTACTCCACCAGTCGGCTGTCCATACCCCATGATATCAACCACCCACCCACTAGCCGATGAGATCCTCGAAAGATTCCATTGGAGAACGACGTTCATCATTCAGAAGTACATGTGCGCAAAGCCGTTGTCCATCCACCATATTCTCGCAAAGCTTCCGTGGTGGTCGAACATCGATGCGAGTGTACTCCCCAAAACCATCGTCGGCCGCATCACCTTCGTCATGCGTTTTGACAATAGTTGGAGGATTGAGTCAGATATGGAGGAGACTATTGGAGATTTGAGAAAGATCTTGAACTCAGCCAGTCTCGGCGTCACTGTTTCTCTATCGATCTTTCCTGCTGATAGTAAGCGCGGCGCCGAGTTCCTCGATCTAGTAGAACCACTCTTGCCTGAGTTGCAGGAGAAGGGCCACGAGATTCGCATGATCGACTTGGCTTGTTGGACAAAGATGCACAGGTGCAAAGAGTCACCAACATGATGGCGGAGTGCTGCGTTTCTAGTATTCTGGGTCGGATGCGTTGAGGTTCCACACGCGACTTCCATGGGACTCGTGGTGTGACGTGGGGAGAGACTGCAGGTGTGGGGTCTTGGCAGGCGGAAGAAGCCGAGGTTGTGGATGAAGTACGTCACGCCGGGCTTGCCGTGTTCACATCATCAATCATTCAATACGACAGCATGCTTGGCGGAACACAGCCTCTGAAATCTCATCTTGTGCGATTCTTTGAGCACTGCCAGCCAGACTGAGCAACTGCTTGCGTGCTTTTCCAGGTTTTCGCAGCCATGTCTCGCCCAAACATCAACGCGCCAATACCCTCTTACGAAGAAGCTGTCGTCGCACCTCCGCCCACCACAGTACCACAACCTCCTTCCGAACCCGCCGTTGCCGAACAACCTGCTGTCGATCCAGAGCCAACACCCACCATCGTCCCAGCATCGCCTCCGCCCGAACTACCGCCCGCATACGCCACCGTCGACGAAAAGGCCACGACCTTCACCATCTACGGCACCTTCATCCATACACCCAATGCGCCAGCCTACCAACTCTCCTCCCTCCTCGATGCGCGAATAAACAAGCTGCGGATACGGAGGCTAAAGGCCGAAGAGATCACATTTCTACAATCCGGCGCACCGACCGTCGCCTTCGACAGCAGCAGCGTGCTCTACGAAGCCCACGACCCGCCCTTCCTCATCAACGAATACTACATCCAAGGCAAAGCAGGGAGCACACTACCCGGCGCTTTACAACTGCGCTTTGGTCTGCGCCGGTGGCATGTCGTGCATATGCCCACGCAGGGCAGTCGGCCGAACGAGATCATGACTTGTGGGAAGCCAGGGGGTTTTACAAAGGCGCTTAAGCAGAGGAAGAACGAGTTGGAGCCCAGTCAATGGAAAGATAGCAAAGGTCATGTCGTCGCGACAGAGGTGTTGAAAATGGGGCCTGGAGGAAAGATGCCGACGATTGAGCTGAGGCATGATCTAGACCAGACATGTCGGGAGTTAATATTGGCGCTTTGGGTAGCTCGGCTGTGGGCGGCTTTTGGGGCGGGAAGCGGATATGCTCATTGAGGTTATCATCACGAATCAGCTAGTTCATGCGCATTTTAGAATCCGCTCCACGTCGAAGACGTGATTCGATCTGGAGCGGATTCTAAAATGCGCATGGACTAGTTGAACTTGATGCACATCACGAGAAGAGACATCACAGCCAGAGCACAACACACAGCCACCGTCAAACCATCTTATCATTGACGCAACACCACCCCCCATCCCTACTCAGCAACACCCCTACTCGCTACGAACAACCCTCTTAAACCCCTGCTGCGCAACCTGGTCCTGCGCCGCCGCAATCACCGCATCCGCATTCGGGTCCGTGAATCCACAACCCGTCTTTCCGTTCTGCTGGCTAGCCGCCTCAGCAGAGCAAACACCGTCGCCGGTCGCGGCGACCTGACTGCAGCAGCCGGAGCTGCAATCGGCATCCGACACGCATCCGCCGGTGATGAATTGCGAACCGTCGCCCGCGCCGACGTTCTTGGCGCCCGCGTTGTTGGGCGTGACTTGTGCCATGGAGACGGCGGCCACTGGAGGGGTGTTAGTATATGACATCTCGGGGCTCCTGCCCATGGCAGGTGTAAAACGGTGGTTGCTTACAGGTGATAAGAGTAGCGATGGAGAAACGCATATTGATGGTTCTGGGTGTCGAAATATAATCGGGAGGGAGATTATGTATTGTACGTTTGAACGAATGACACCAGGTCAGCTTTTGCAGTCACAGACAGCAAAGAAAGAATGGAATAGAAGAGAAGGTTGTTGGAACGAGTAAAGATGTTGCTTGATAGTCTCTCAGCACGATGGGCGACGCAGGCTTCTTATGCCTGAGGAAAGGGCACGGCGATGTACACCCCGCAGTACGCTTCCAGTGCATCGTGTCATGCTCTCCGTGGCGCTGAGGCTGTCGCTGTGTGATCGCCTTGTCGCCTGCGTATCCAGGCGCCGGGTGTCGGAGGCGAGGTACCTATAACGAAAGCGCATATGTCGTGCATGATTCATGCTGTTGGTTGACTTGCACCTGACTTGTGCTATTGAGCGGTTTGCTGGTGACGCGTCCTGTGGATGATGTGTTCTGGCCTATCAGCGGGGTCAATGCCGTGGCGGATGGGTCTCGTTGTGCTGTCGCAGGAGGCGTTTCAGAGTGGTTCACGTGATCGGAGGGTGGGTGGAGTGTGTCAGATGTGTCAGATGTCAATATCACGAACATCTATTGATGCGAGTCCCTTTTGTACTTCGCGATCTTCTATTTCAACCTACGCCCTTCGAACGCAGTGTTAGCGCAGTGCCGTACTATACCATCCTAGGAGAACTGTGCGCCCTCACCAACATCAACAACCTGATGTCCAGGACTAGGCGGTACATCACCTGACTCCCACACAGTCTGTTGCTCTCCAAGCCTGAAGACAATCTCACCCCCTTCTGTCATGATGCCACCCGCGTCTTCATGCTCGAACCAGTTCTTGTCCCAGGCCTGCCCATTGATACTCACTCCCTGAACATAGTACCCCTGCTTTCCGTCTCCATCATCCAACCCCTCGGCCCTGATCCTCAGCGTCTTGTCATGATTGACAGTAATGTTGATATCAGAGAACCAAGGACTTTCCAAGAGATATACGGGGGTAGTGACTATAGGATACAATCCCAGCATCTGCCAGATGAGCCAGCAATTCAGGGCTCCTGCGTCGCTGTTTCCGGGTATACCGTTCGTTGTATTGAAGTAGAAGTCATTGGCAAGCTGGCGGCTTCGCTCGACGCTCTTCCACTGCTTGTTGAGGTAGTTGTATAGATACGGTGTTTCGAAGTCGGGTTCGTTTGCGACGTTGTTGATGGTCGTGATACCAAGTCCGTTTACGCCGAGGTCTACCCCAGACGTGTTTGGTTGGAATACGTAGTCGAGACGATCTTCAAAGTGGGAAGGGCCGCCCATTAGCGTGATAACGCGCGAGATGTCGTGAGGAACGACGAAGGAATACTCTACCTTCTTGTTAGTGTACAAGTAGAAGATGAATGCATGCAGGCAGGCAGCGACTCACCAAAAGCAGTGCCTTCGTAGCTCTCATCTTCCCAGTTACAATCGCCGCAGTCAGTAATGTCGTAGGTCTTGTGGAAAGTGCCGTTCGCGTATCGCGGCATAACGAAACCGGAAAAGTTACGACTCGCAGACTCAGGATCCCAACTCATCTGCCAACCTGCGGACCGACGGAGGTAGAGGTCACGATCGCCAGGCGCTTCACCAGCTGCGATCTGGCTCACAGCGAAATCGTTGAGTGAGTACTCTACTGTCTTTGAGACTGCACGCGTGCTGCGATCAGCCGAGACGTAGCCGAGTTCTATCCAGTCTTTCAGCGCGCCACGTCCTTCCTTCAGCGACCCATACGGATCGACTGGGTTCTCGTCGAAGAAAGGTAAGACATCGGCATCCTTCTTGACTGCTGCATAGCCTTCCGTCCAGTTGATCATACCCGTCAAGCCCTTGACGTAGGCATCTGCCAGGACGTTGTCGGCGTTCGATCCTCCCTGGACCAGACCGTTGTAATTGCCAGATCGGCCATCAGGAAGATATCCTTCTTGCTTGAACATGTCGATGAGGGATCGAATCATTGACTCATAGTAGCTTGGCTGAATGAGGTGCCAGAGCGAGACCTGGTTGCGGAACAAATCCCACATTGTGTAGAAATCTGCAGGAGTAGAGATACGAAGTCAGTATATGTCTCACATGCATCTCGTGGAGCCAGGACTTACCATCCCAATATGGCTCGTCCGATTCCCATAGCGGGTTCTCACCTACACGCTCGCTGGGTATGAGGTGCATGAAGTACAAGCTGGAGTATAACAAGGCCAGCCTGGTCTTGTTTGCCGACTCCGAAGTGTCAACGCGAATCTTGGAAAAGACATCGCGGTTCCATTCGTCACGCGTCGCTTGCGCGGTATCCTCGATTGACCACGAAGAGAGCTCGGCGTTCTTGTACGAACATGCCTTGTCGACGGACATGAATGATATGCCGACTCGCGATTTGATCTCGGTGACATCGGTCCAAGTGAATACTGCTCCAACGCGGTCGTTCATCGGCCCTGACCGGGCTGTTGATCCAGTATACGTAGGCCGAGGTGTTGTGCCATTATTGAACGACCAGAAATGTCGACCGACAGGGAATGTGTTCTTCCCTTTAAAAGCACGTGCCTCGTCAGGCAGGCTATCGAACTCGCCGCACACGTACACGGTGACTGGTGCCTACACGTAGGTGTACGAAGTCAGTCCATGTCTCACATGCAGTTCGTACAGCGATTTCCTTACACCCACGTTCCACCCACCTGCTATGGATGTGTATCCAGTGTATGTGCTGTTGTTCGGTTGAATCTCAATCTCGCCGCCTGTGTAGAATTGCGAGTCCCACGAGCGTGTAAGATGGGGCAAGTAGTGCGACAAGTCAACCAGCACGTGCTTCTCGGACGAAGACGGATATGTGTAATGGTATAGTCCTGCGTGTCGAGAGGCCGCGAGCTCGATCCTGACACCAGATTCGAGCTCGGTACGGAAGTAGCCAACTTGCGCAACGTCTTCGCCAACCTAAAGGCTTGTCAGAAGCTGCCTTTCCATCACGCTTGATGACCCTACACGATCCTGCCAGTAAGTTCGATTGTCCAGCAAATTGACATCGCCGTCAATGCTTGTTAGCGGCATCTGGGAAGGGTATCCATATTTAGAGCCTCCGCCGGTTCCTGACTGATGCATCAAGCTGATGCCAGTCACATGGCCTTGAGGTGTATATCCGCCGTTGAGTGCACTCTGGTTGATGGGCTCTTCATACGTGTCGATACCCAGTTTGACCATGCCAAATGGTACTGCGCCACCCACGAATACATCACCGCCACCGTCTAGTATCTGTTAGAAGTGAGCTTGATGTAAATTTCTGGGCATCTTGCATGCGTAGCCAGGTATCGCGCCTTCAGTCCCGATAAATGGATTCACAAACTGCGAATAGTCGACATCTTTCGAAAGTGCGCATGGCGCAAGTACCAGTAGAGACAACAACCCAGTTCCCAACATCTTGAGGGCAGTTGAGGTAGCTAGGCGGGTCGTAGTCTCTGTTACTTCTTATGCGTCCCAGCCGTTGGTGCACCGCTTTCCAAGGTACCCCGCATGCGCGCATCGATCCGCAGGCGGGCGTCGTCGGTTGTACACCCTGATTGAGCTCTAAGGTTACATCGTCAATGAATCCTTCGTAGATAGAGAGCAGTTGCAGTGCGTTATGACGTCGACTCTCGGGTCCCTCTTCCCCGTCAGGTGCCTGCCAAGATGCGGAGACAATCACGTGATTGTGCACGTGCGCGTCTTCGGAATCATCTTCCGAGGGAAAGGACGCGTCTCTCATCGTTTCTGTCGAACCCCCAACTTCGCGTCCGGCGCTCGACAAGCGCGCGTCTCCTTCTTCGATGAGACGCATAAGTTGAGCAATACACCCCCGACTGCGTTTCTTGTCTCAGCCCCCTCTTCAGCCAGACAGTGATCACCTACTGGCCGCACCTTCCGCGCCAATCCCGACCGATTGAGCTTTGCCCTCCAAGCCCCAACGTTGTCTACATGACAACAGTCCATCGACAACAATGGCCCAGATACGTCACCTGTCTGTGTGTTGAAGGTTGAAGGTCGAAGCCTATCCTGTTGGGCTCATGGAGCATGCGCGTCACGCAGTGTGAGCATCGAAGCCCCTCACATGTCTTCCTCTTTCGAGTTCGATCTACGAGATAAGATGTCGAACCTTATGCATACGTGTAGGTCATCACTGCGAAGGCCAAAACTCCGAGGCAAATGCCTCAAAGTTGTCTCTAAGTACCGGCTTCCTGGTATCCTGGATGGTGGGCTCCAACGCATAAGTTTGGGCCCTAGCGCAGATGCCCTACACTACGAAAAACATGAAGTTGACGTAGAGAGAATCTAGGAGGGGAGATGGTGTTGATTTAGTCCATGGCGAGTGCGAACCCGAACGAGCTAGGCTGGCCGATCTGCTCCGCAAACTTTGTCTACGATTCCAGCTGCCTAGTTGCTGGTTGGCCCACGAAGAAGAGTTTAGATCCCGAAACTTAGACATGGAGAAATATGCCGCCCTCTATGAGAAACTCGCGAACACGGTCAGCGCAAGGTGCGCATGCAAGCATCCTGATCCCTCATGCCTACGCCCGGCGGGTAATTCAAGCGCGCCACTCCGGTTCGCAGCCGCCGTGCCGTAACGACTTGGTCACGAACAGCTGTTTCTCAGCACAAGGGTGACTCGCGCGAATGTTCATTCAGATTGACTGCGGCCGTGTTGACTGAAAACACATCGCTGATAACAGAGTTTACGAAGGCTGCAAAGCGCTGCTGATGCACTACAGGTCACCATTAGTGTGTGGTCACATCTTGCATCGCGAAAATGAACCATTACATATCAACTTGTGGTGTAAGCTATCCGAAACTCGTACATCCGCTTCAGAGCGATATCTCATTCGTCAGCAGTGTTCATGACGACTAGGAGCGACGAACCAGAGGTGCTCGGTCGACATGTCCAGTAGTAAATCCACTTGCGGTAAGGCAAGCGACAGTTGGCTGTGCAGGGCTGTTCGCCTCGTCTTCGAACCTACACCAAAACCAACACCACCAGTTTAGATCATAATGCATCGCACTCTTGTATCGGTTGGCTCACTGCTAACAACGAATGCGGGGCTTTGGGTAGCACCCATCTTGAAGACACGCACATTGCTGTCATCTGTGAAAGAGTGCAGACACACGCGCAGGCCACTAGGTACGTTGAAGTGGCTGATCTGCCGTTAGCACCTCACTCACCAAAACACAGACACCATCTCGTGTGGATGGAAACAGACACCCTAAGAATGTACATCTTTATGAACAGTTTGCCAACAGCTTCATCGCGCAATATTGCCACAACATGTTGCTGCCATGCGCCTACGTCGCGATACCTGCGATATCCCAACGTCGCTGCATTGGAAGGTGTTTGACCTAACTACCGCATCTCCTGCCAACGTTTGCCCAGCGCATACTCATCAAATTAAGGTGCGATGTTGCTGGGTCCAACCTCCTCCCGTTGCCTTCATGGTCACAGGTTTACAAGCATCCCCAAGATAAGTCCGAGCGCGGCATGTTCCAGATCGCCGAAAGTTGCGGCTGTCGATTGCGCACTCGGCATTCATTGAACTCTATCAGGATAAAGGGTGATGACCGAGCATCAGTCTATCCGCGCGCTGGCCCTAGTACGACAATGGAAGCCGACCCACTCTTGCTAAAGAACAAGATTTGCGACTACAATCAAATGCACCTTGGCATCAATCTGTACAAGTCCCGCTCATGACCTGAAAATCGCGATGGTATGACTGCTGGGACAGACGGGCGCGTTGTTAGCGCGTGCACCAAGCGGCGAAGTGGAGGGGATCTCCGCCGCCCGGGCCGTCGTTCACTCACCCCAGTGCCAAGTGCAAAAACCGCGATTGGTCAAATATCTGGAACATGACGAGGATGCACGCCGACCTGATCCTTACCGGCTCTTGCTTCAGGCCCGAGTCAGACAAGCCCAAAGCACGTACCAGCAACGTTCACACCGAGACGAGGTTTGGCCAGCGAATACCCACATCTTTGAGATGGTCTTGGGCACATAGGCATAAAACTTCCAGTGAATTGCATACCTGACAAACACCATATCGCGATAGCTTCTACGATCGAGCTCGGCGAGATCTTCGCCGGACCCTGGCATGCGGAAGAGTCTCAGGCACTAGCCTATTGTATAGTTTGTGCCTTACATGTCGACATCCGCGGAGCATCCTTACCTATAGATTGTACCCTCATCCCGGAGGAACACAGCCCTTTTTGGATGGAACTCCGTTGAACATTAATACATCTATACCGACTGGACGTTCCCGTCGTATCCGACGCCTTGGACCCCCGCGACTGCGATCAAGATGTCTTCCCAATTCGATAACTGGCGCAGCGACCCGAGTGAGTCGCACTCGATGTTGATGGCCGTATCGACATGGTCAATGGGTGGAATCTCTTTCGTCTTTCTGGTTGTTCGCTGTTGGATCCGTCGTTCCCAAAAGAAGTTCTGGTTTGACGACATTGTACTCATTATTAGCTGGGTAAGTGAGGCCAAAGGTCGAACTGAGATAATGGATCGCTGATGCACCACAGTTTATGCTCCTTGGCCAACTAATCTTGAACCAACTCAGCATCAACCTCGGTTTTGGAAAGCATGCACTCGACAGTAAGAGTTCGCAAAGAAGACTTCAATCAACCTATCTCTAACTTTCTGGCCAGTTGACTTCAGCCACTTCGAACGTATCACGTATTATGGTGCATCTGCGCTCACCTTTTCCATCACGGGCATCATTCTCAGCAAAATCTCGTTCGGGCTCACTTTGCTTCGGTTGACCGACGGATGGCTCAAGGCCTACGTTTGGTTTGCTATCGCCACCCTTGGCTTATTCGCGATACCAGTTGCTGTCCTTCCCTGGGTCTTATGCAAGCCAATAACGAAGACCTTCGTTGATATCCTTCCGGGCACATGTATCGACAAGGAGCCTTCGGTTATATACGGAAGATTTCAGGCTATATGGGCCGCAATCATGGACATTTCTCTAGCATTATTGCCATGGAAGGTCCTCTGGAATCTACAGATGCGTACCGCGGAGAAGATCGGAGTTGGTCTTGCCATGAGTCTGGGTATCTTGGCAGGAGTCACCTCTATTCTCCGAGCCAGATATGTCGAGCAGCTCCAAACCCAGGATCTATCTTGTAAGTCATTAAAGCGTTCTATCTGAAACGAGCTAACCAAAGCAGACCAAGCGTATAAATCCGTCATTTGGTCAACAGCAGACACTGCCATGACTGTTGTTGCCACGTCCATCCCGGTACTCCGTGTCTTCTTCAAGCAAGCAGTCAACACGGCCATCTCACATTACCACAACTCAACAAACCGAAGCGGCAAATCGAAATCTACTGGGACT